TTCCTCCCTTCCTCCCTCCCTTCCTCCCTCCCTCCCTTCCTTCCTTCCTCCCTCCCTCCCTCCCTCCCTCCCTTCTTCCTCTCTCTGGCCCTGCCCTCTGCAGGCATCCCCCTGCCCTGGGGTCTCCCTGCTGTGCAGGGCCTGAGAGACTCCCAGCCCCTGGGCAAGGGAGGCCTCAGGTGTGGGTAAATGCCACCTGTTTACTGAGTGCAGGCAAAGCCAATGACACCGCACATCTCAGCACAGTCTCCCCATGTCTGTGGTCACCAGTCCTGTGTGGTGGGGGTTCCCTCTCCTCCCACTCCGCCCTGGACCCCCCCCCCCAGCTCCCTCCCACACAGAACAACTTAATGAGACTGCAGAGGAGCAACCAGTGCAGTGCTGGTTTCTGGAGCTACTGCTGCTCCTTTCTCAGAAAAGATGCTCAACTGAGAGGTGGGAGCCCCCACCTCTGGCCCGACCTCTGCCCTTTGCCATTTTGGGCCCCCATATCCTCCTTATTAACAGAAAGGAGCTGCTCCGGGGTCCGACGGGGCCTTCGAGACTTGGGAATTGATGGTTAGGAGATTTTTTTGCTTCTAAGACTTGGGGAGCTTTCTTGGGAATTCTGGCAGCTGAGTCTCTCGGAGATCAATAAGTCCAGGCTACTTCAGGGCAATCGAGTATTAGAAGAAGCTCTGAGGCCATGGGCAAATGTGCTTCAGGAAGACAGGTGATGGCTGGCGCAGACTTGGTTGGAAGGGCCCAGTGGCTGGCCAGAACTGGTGCCCATTATTTATTTGTTAATGAGGGAGATAAACCAATGTGTTGTGCCAGGATATGGATTGAACCTGGGGTGAGTCAGCAAAGACCAAATAGACCTGCTGGGTGGATGGGCCACGGGGAGAAACAGCCATTTCTTGGACCTCAGAAGAGGCAGCAGGGTTGCCCGCCTGTGTGCACTCACATGTACCACCTGTTGCCATCAGATTACACCCAGGAGGACCCACCCTTACCCACAGTAAGCACAGCCTGGTGCTGGGTACAGTGTGCTGGGGGCCGGGGAGGGGAGTTTAGAAGACGAAGCCAGTGTGATCCTTGACCTCAAAGCACTTTTTCTCCAATACGACATAAATGAGATAAACTTACATCATAACAGAAAAGTGCTTTCATGTCTCTTGGCTATCTGTGGTGATGTATATAAAATGGGCTGGTTAGAATTCCATGGCTCGCAAACTATATATATATATATATATATATATATATATACTTTTAGCAGCAAGCTTCTTTTCTTCTTCTCCGAATGAAATGTATCTATAAGACTCGATATTTAAGACAAATAGAAATACTATAATGGGTAACAATAGTTTACTTCTATCGAGGCCAGCCCTGGTCAGGCACCGTGTGAAATGCCTTACATGCATTATTTCACTTAATCTTCATTGTGGCTCTGTGAGGTAGACCCTATTATGATACTCACTTCACAGATGAGGAAACCGAGGTTCAGAATGGTTAAGTCATTTACCCAAGGTCACCCAGACAGTAAGTGGCAGAAAGGGGATTTGAACCCAGGTTGAGTGGATCAGTGAGCCTGGTTGGAGGTGGTGGGGTGTCTTGGCCACCTATACTCCCCTCACGTCCCACCTCTCAGGAGGCCCTGAGACATAACACTGAGGCCCTCCAGCAGAGGCAGGCGGAACTTACATGGAAGATGACATAGCTCAGGACAATGAGCCACTGCGCTCAGAGAAGGGGGAGGTCCTTGTGGGAGGGGGTCACTGGGAAAGGCTTCACGGAGGATGGGGTCAGAAGCGAAGCAGAACTTGGCTTCAGACCTCTCACCCCTCATGGGCCTCCCACCTGCGGGCACGGGCAGCCACCTGGGCTCCCTTCTCAGCCACATCCCCCTTCCTCCTAAGCAGATGAGAGGGGATATCCAGGGACTGGAGGGGACCCAGCTGTGTGTATGAAGTCACACTGTCCCATTCTTTGGGGTTGGCTGGCGGGAGGGCTCTGGGGACACTGCCCACCAGTCAAAGCCCTAATGAGAGTTAACAAGGAGGTCATCACGCATTTGGTTTAAAGACCATGGGTTCAAACTCAGCCTCTGGCTCGACATGAAGAGACTGAGAGAAAGCCATTCCAACCAAACCCCTTTCAAGTGACGCCAGGGAGTGACACCTTTGCCAATAAGAAGCTGTTGGCCAGTTTAAGTTGGAAAGTGAAACCCAAACCTGCCAGGAGGATGAGCCAAGCGCTGCTCGAAGGGGCATTTCAGTGGGACACGCGCTACTGGCAGCGATGGAATCAAAGCGTGTCTGGACCTTCCCCTCCAGGTCAGAGAAGTCAATTTCTAAGGAAGACTGTTAGGAAGGCTCTGCCTGGCCTGTCTGTCACGTCTGACCCACGTAAGAAAAAGGGCCCCCAGATGGTCACAGGATTCTGGGGTTCCAGAAACCACAATCCATCCTCTGCAGCTTGAAGGCAGAACTCCATGCAGTTTCAGATCTCTTTCCAGGAAGTTCATCTCTTTTGGTCCCAGGGGGCCTGTGAGGGGGCTGGGGAGAGGGGGGCACATCCTACAGGCCAGCGGGGCTCTGGACAGCAATGGCAATCTCACTGCACCAAGGGCTCAGGAATGCCAGGAGAGCTGCGGCTGGGCAGCCCGGACATGGATGAAGGGGACCCAGTGGGCTGGGTACGTTCACTCCTAAGTCTCTCTCCCCGCTTTGTCTCCATCGCCCCTTTACATTCTCAGTGCCCTCATGCTGCCTGCACTGCCTGTGATTCTAAACTTTGATATATGGCCTAGGCCATACCTCTCTCATCCTCTGCTCCATTACAATGGAAAATTCCACACTATTCAGGCACAGCATTGACGAACTCCATTCAACACACTGGAGGGAAGACCTAAGGACTAGTCCTGAAGCTGCATCCGCACGGCAATGGCTTTGGGGTGAGCATGTGCAGTGGTTTATAGCACCCCTTGGGGCTGCAATTGCTCCAGGCTTCAACCCTCCCAGGGCATAACTGCAGCATCACAAGCGCCTTCTGTGCTGAACCTAAAGCAGAACAATCCGGGGCATTTCAGGGACCGAACAGGCTGGAGAGGGATGGGGGGTGGAAAAGACATGGGCCCCGTGGGCGCTTTCCTTAGCTCTCAATCCCGGAAGCATATGCTGATCACCCACCACACGCAAGGCTCTGCCTCCCTGGGATTCTCCAACATCCACCCTCCGAGATTTCACAGCGAGAGGGACAAGCCCCAGGCAGAACGACAGCCCAACCCCAGCGGGCCCTGCCTGGACGGGCCAGGTCACCCAGTCTCAGCCAGCCGGCAGCCAGTCCACAAGGTGGTGCTGTTGAGCCCTTGCTATCTGTGCCTCACCGTGCAGCCAGGCACCGGTAGACCAGCCCCCGCAGCCCCCAGGCCTCTAAGAGAAGGAAGGCCAGGTGGTACACGGGAAATAATGATCAAGTGATTCATCTCAGACCTGAGGACTGCGGCCTTTGCAATAAGAGTTGAGCGGGGGAAAAGAATGAGAGATCGGTTTGGGTGGGAGCCCTGGAGAGGGAAGACCAGAGCTGGATCTTGATGGAGAAGTCGGATGTACTGGGTGGAGGGGACAGCACGGGCAGAGGCTTGCAGGCTGGACTAAGCAGGGAGCATAGCAGGTGCTGCTCAGGGGGAGAAGGGCTCATCTAGACAAGGCTAGCTAAGCAGGACTAG